GGGGGAGTGGGAGAGGGAGAAGCAGGCTTCCCGCGGAGCAGGGAGCCTGATGCGGGGCTCGATCCCAGGACCCTGGGATCATGACCTGAGCTGACGGCAGACGCCCAATGACTGAGCCACCCAGGTGCCCCCTCTGAGTGAAATTTGAAGAGGAGTCTTTGAAATCATTAAATCATGCTGTCTCCTCCTAATAAGTATTAAGACTATGCAAATATCCCATTTCTCATCATACTTTTGGCCTATTAATTTTATATTCCATTGATAATTTTTACCTGCAACAATTATTACTTGGTGTTTGCCAAATTCTGATATATTTTATTTCCATCATTCCTATCCCTACTACATTTATTAATTAGAATTCTACTATAAGGAAGAGCTATTCCTTCCCTCATTTATTCAGTTACTGTATCAATGTGGACTCATGACTATATTATTCTATTGATTATAATTCATTACTACAGTTACTTATTTTATTGCCCAAATTATCCCAGATTTGGCCATTGGCAGCCCCTTCTGACAGGCTCTTCTGTCCTTTGACAAATCCCTATTATTTTTTGAAAGCATTTTGTTATTTACTCTTTGGCACCACAAGATGTATGAAATTCATTTTGCTTTAGCTCAAGAATGGATCATTTCTCCAAAGAACCCTAGTCCTTTTAATTGGAGATTGATAACAAAATCCGGGTGCAGGTATGCTCATTGCTACTGAGATGTTCTTGCTTCTGGGCCTCTCAGTGGGCAGAGCTGGGAAATACATGCATGGATATGCACATATGGAAATGTCTCTCTCCATCTGTCTATGAATATTTACCTATTAAAGACTGAAAGTTAATCCTGATGCTTCTTTTTTTTTTTTTAAGGTTTTATTTATTTATTTGACAGAGAGAGACACAGCAAGAGAGGGAACACAAGCAGGGGGAGTGGGAGAGGGAGAAACAGGCTTCCTGCGGAGCAGGGAGCCCAATTCGGGGCTCGATCCCAGGACCTGGGGTCATGACCTGAGCTGAAGGCAGACGCTTAATGACTGAGCCACCCAGGCACCCCCATCCTGATGCTTCTAATTATAACTTAGTACCACTAGTTTCCTTCTAGAATTCTCCCTTTCCTTACTTGTAACTTTCTCCAATAGTGAGAGACCTGGCATTCATGATTGGTAATATAGTTACTTATTCGTTCAACCCTAGTATACATATAAAGAAGTTTTTAGAATTGTGATCCTATAATCCCTGTGAGAATTTACTAACTCAACTATAGGATTTGGGTACAGTTCTTTTTGTCTTTGGCATATAACAAAAATACTGATTTCCCAAATTACTCAGGCCAGATCTTTTCTTCTCCATCCCTTTTAGTGTGGTTAAGTTGTTCATTTGTGTACAACTAGGAACATTTGTTACTGTTTGTGTTCCACATGGGGTCCCCTGACACCCAGAGGTTGGTTTTTGTTATTATTTATTTGGGAGGTATGTGAAACATTACTATAGTTCTGAGAGTCAGGACTGTATGAAAAGGCATGCTCCTGAAAGTATCCCTTATCCCTTGTATTGCATTCTACCCCACCCCTCTGCCTCATTCCCACTCATCCCCTGTGGCTTACCAACTTCATTAGTTTCTGGTTTATTCTGTATTTCTTTTTTGCACAAATATGTAGATACACACAAATTTTCTTATACAGTGACTACATTTCAATGTTGGTTTTGTTGTTGTTGTTGTTTTTGTAGTATTGAGCAATTTGAATGCCATTTGGGGATTTTCTCTCTTCAGGGTGCTGTTCATAATTGGTGTGTTCTTACCACTAGTGTATCAGAAAGCTAATGAAACCATTATTTTCTTCCTTGAAAAATGTTTTTGGGATTTTTTTTCAAGAATGAAAGTGAGAATGTGAATTTTGATTACCTCATTAGCACTGAACTGTCTGTTTCTTAATAGGATTGGTTTAAGAAAATAGTAACATAAAACAAGCAGTATTTTTCAAGTTTTCCTTAACTCATTATATGTATCTTTAGCAAGATATTTAAAAATTCTCTTTCCCCTTTTCAATTGAATTTGAATTATTTCAAGTATCAGTGAGAACAGTTAGATTGTTGCATAAAATGTGTTGTTTTGCTTCTCTAAAATACAAAACAAAACATTTCCCCAAGTCTGTTTAAATAGTGCTATGGTACATTTCATCGGACACTTTTTTTTTTTTTTTTTTCCTGAACTACTTTGCAGGCCTTTGGGCAGTCCTTCTCCATCCACCGGAAGGTTGCTGAGGATGGAGAGACTCGGGAGGAAACGCTTCTGCAGGAGTCTGCATCAAAGGAAGCTTACTATCTGGGGAAGATCTTGGAGATGCAGAACGAACTGAAACAGAGCCGGGCTGTGGTCACCAACGTTCAGGCAGAAAATGAGAGGCTCACAGCCGTTGTGCAGGATCTGAAGGAGGTAAACAGCAAACTCCCTGTGAGAGATTTGTGTGAGCAAGCAATAAGTTAAAATTCTTTCTAGGAGAGAGGAATAAAACTTTTTCTTTGATCAGAGGAGCTGTCTTAAACAAGAAGCACACAATACTGATGCTAACGATTTTTCTTGTTTAGTGAAATGACAGCTTGTTCTGAAATGAGCTTTTCTCTTATTGTGTGTTAAGAATTAAAATCTACTTATGGAGTAGTTGGGAATTGGCCTTGCTATTTCTGCAAAGGTTTAAAGAAATATAGTGACCGTAGCACTTCCTCTTCCTTTTACCTATTTTAATACAAGGTGGAGAAGAACAGTTGGCCATGATGCTCTATGTTGGCACCAATTCAAAATGACAGTAGTGTTAGCTCAGGACCCTTCCCACTAGGGAATGAGACCCCAAGGGAGTGTCTGTGGGGTCGTAGAGTCTGGCCATGCAGAGCCATAACTATTTTTCTGGTTTTAGAGAAGGCAGCAGATTACAGCTGGTGTGAATTAGGTCTGAGAGCCTCCTCAGTCCCCGGACTCACTCTTTCTTCAGCATCACGTGCCAGATCATTTTCAGAGTGGCAGAGTCATTCTTTTTTTTTTTAAGATCCTTTTTTTTTTTTATTATTAT